AACTCCTGATGATCCAGTGAGTAAACCTTCCTAATCAATAAGTACTTTGATAACAGTTTGCGTTATTCCCTCGTAGCAGACATCATCTTGATCATAAAAGTATGCAAGGAAAATTCTTACATTACTGTATATTCTGTGGTTCCTAAACCGAGGTAGAATATACACACTTATTTCTTTCGAGTTTTAATTGTGGGTTTAATGTTTCACCTTTATCCCAATTTGAGTAACTGCAAACGTTATTGTTGCTATTATTGTTTATATTGTTATTGGATTTAATGTTATTAGTGTTACTATTATTATTTTTACTGTTGCTGTTTTTATTACTATTAGTATTAATTTTGTATATTAATACTAATAGTAATAATAACAATAATTATTGCTATTATTAATTATTACTATTATACCGTTTATACAATAATTATTACTATTATACCGTTTGGCCCGTTTCGATGCAATTGGTAACGATATTATTTAAAATTGACTATTTTAAATAATAAAAAAAATTTAGAAAATTATTTATTGTAAATATTTTTTTAAATTATATAAATTATATAAATAATTTAGAAAAATATTTTTTGAAATTTTTATCATTGAGTTAAATTTGAAATTTATTAGAATCAGTTATTCCTAGTTATTACTGTTATTGAGTAGTAGTACCATTGTGTTTTTGTTCCTTTGTAGTTGGTGCGTTATAAAAAATATTTATTGTTGGCATTTCTACAACATTGACCTTGAATATTGGAAATGAATTCATTATTAGTAGTAACTGTTTCTTGTTTAGGCATATCGTTAGAGTTTGTGTCACTCTTGCTAAGCTGTAATTGCTAGTAACCAATTCGTTTCTTCATAGAATTTATTTTGCTTATACAAACTGGACATAGTTTACTGAACGTGTCGTGGCACACATCAAGGTTAAGTGATAATTTTTCATTAGCAATGACGCAATTTATACATTTTGTTACTTTATCTTTTTTGGAGACAATTAGCATACTTTTCTTCGTTTTTACACTCGTTCGACTTGTGGTTGAAACCTTTACATTTGAAGCATCTAAGCACCCTTACCGAATAGAATACCTTGCAACGCTGCCAGCCAATTGAAACTTTTTCACGAGCTGTAACTTTTGGAAATGCGAACTTGTCAATTTCAATTACCGCATTATATTTTTCCTCCTTGTGATTATTTACCTTGTATATTTTTATCACTTTCATTTCGTTTGATTCTTGTTGTTGATTTTGTCCCTTTAGTTTGTTAAGCAATTCTGTTTCCGTATATTTGGAGCTTATATGGATAGCCTCGATTCTGGGTTTAAGTTAACTAGGAATTTTCTCTTGATATTTCTTTTCCAAATTCTTTTTAATAGCACTTTTGATTTCGTTTCTTTTTTCACTACTTTCGGTTTCAATTACAATTACTCCGATTTTCGCATCAACTTTTTTATTCAAATCCATACGCATGCTGTTGCAATTTTGTTTAGTAACTTAATGACCAGCGGAACTTTTTTCATTTCTGGTATATTTTTGCATATGCTTGCAGTTTGATTCACAATATCAGAAAAGGAATGACCTACATTTTTTTTATTTTCGCTTTCATTGAAGGTCTGAGCTTTTTGCACAGTTCGTCACTTTTTACTAAAGTTTTATTCATAACGGTATTTAATTTTTCTCTGTCGGCTTTTAACAATTCCGTTATTTTCGCTACCTTCTCAAATTCTATTTACTGAGCGTATTTAATGCTTTCTAACATTTCACAATGTCTGTTTTCAATTGCCTTTAACAGGTATTTAATTTCTAATTCACATTTTGAATGTAAAGAATACATTCATCACATAAAAATTTAATGTTTTTGTTTGTATCTAATATATTGTTCGCCGCTTGATCAAGATTAAAGAAAATTTATCTGTGCTATCACAAAGATGCGATAGTTGTATCGATGAGTTCAAATTGTTGGTTTGCCAAAAATACAAACTTGGAGGCAAAATAATTAAAGAAAATAATAATACTATAATCGACTTTATTCCATATTTATTGAGATCGAAAAAAAATCAAAAGCTTAGCTATAGCTCACAATGGTCAAGCGTTTGATCGTTACATTCTTTTGAATTATTTACTACAGGAAACTGTATTGAAACCTAAATTAATCATGAGAGGAACAAAAATTATTATTAACAACATACAATTTATAGTTCCACTATATTATTTTCCTATGGTTCTTTCCGAATTGCTTTTAGCTTGCTATCAAATTTAAAAAGGTTACTTTCCATACAAATTTAGTACCATGGAAAGTGTTAATTATGTTGGTTTGTTACCAGCTATAGAATACTTCAGAGTAGATAGCATAAAAACAAAAGAATTTGAGATATTTTTAGAATATTATGAAAATCATGAAAGTGGAATATTTGATATGCAACATGATATTCTAAAGTACAGTATACATGATAAGTATTAAGGAAATATTGTCTCAATTTTCGAAAATTGTTTATAACTGAGTGTAATGTAGAAGCTTTCTTAGGAGCTACAACTCTAGTCTCAGCCTGCAATTAAGTGTTTCACAGAAATTTTGTTAAGCTCAATGCCATTAGACTGATTCCTAAAAACGTAGATTGTTATCTAAGTTTTTAAGTCCTAGATCCTATTGTTATCTGTACCTAGATGTACGGATAACCAGTCAAAACTGGCTATACAGTGGTTGATTTTTGAAGAAGAAAACCGTAACATCAATATTCAAAATTAACTATTAATTACTAAAAAACAGGAAGCTATTGTGGCTTATGGATTGTTATTGCAAAGAAACTAATTAAATTTTTGAATTTTATGAGTTTTATTTTCATTGACAACCTCCTTACTAAAAGTGTAAACCTGACAAGCCTTTGTTTTTCGAATGTCCAGGCCTCGATTTTTTGAAATGTCAAGATACAAACACACATACCAAAATTAAACAGAAGCAAAAAAAATTGTAAAGAAATGAGAAAAGAAAGAGAGCGGGAATGATAAAATAAACACACAAGACTAAAAGTATATATATTTTTGTTCCGCCATGTGTCTGTCCACTCAGAATTGATTTTTTCAAAATTCGAAATTTTTCTTGCTGGTACGTCTTTGTTTTTAAAATTTTTGATTTAAGTTATTAAAAAGCTAAGCAAAGTGAATATGCAATACAATATATGTATGTAGGTTATAACTGGTTATAATAATAAACACATTTTTTTAAAATTTAAAGTTCAAAGGAAAAGAAGGTAATTGATTAACTGTATAATATAATTTTCCAGTCTGTATATTTTAATTTTTCCGTATTGAATTTGAATATCTCGTTTTTTCCAAAATGTATACAAATTTTAATTATTATTTTATTCATCTTGTTTTGATAGTAATCTGTTAAAAATTGCAAAAATATAACAAAAGAATACTGATAAACTCTTTCTGAAAAAGAAGAATTCTAATGTAAAAATGAGTAAAAAAGCGAGATACACAATTATTATTTTACCTTTTATTTGACTGATATTTTACTACAAATATTTTCCTTTTCTTACCTGATATTTCCTTAGAAAGGTACATGGATTTTGACGAACTTTAACTCGAATGCTGTGGCTCTAATCCAACTGATTGTAAGACTGAAAATAGAGAGCAATTAATCGCCTATGAAAAAAGCTCCCGATGGTTGCTTTATGTCGCATGGTTCCGGCTTATAAGTATTATTTGCATAAAAAATTTCAAATTCATATTTCAGTATGGTTTCAAATGTTAATGAGGAAGGATGTATGATTTTTTATGCACATTTTGTATTTCCCAATAAGGTAAGTTGAGTAGTGTCGGCTAACAAAAATGTTAGTAAAAGTAATATAGGTTGGCATATTTATATGTTACTTATCAAATTGTTTCAATTAATTTTAGTTAGTTCTTAAGTTATTAAAAATAAATATGTATGTACCTACCTACAATCAATTTTTTTTTAAATAATTATTTTAAAACTATTTCAAACATGTTATATTGAGTGCTTCAAAAATTTTGTTGTGCACTTCTTTCATATATTATTAGCAGGTAAACAAGAGCAATCTATTTATAAAATGGCCCTGCATGTGTATGTATAACCTATCTTAATTCTAAACGTAAAGAATATTACATAAAGAATAAAAATTTTAAAATACCTGTAATTTTACAGTCGGAATTTTTGAGTCATTTGGTAAAATACCATTTATTTCAAAAATAGAAAAATATTCAAATCCGGTCATAAAAATATATGATTGTTTTTTCAGAACATTTTAAATATTGGTTTTTCTTAGGTAATTGATATAAATGATAGTAAGATTTTAATATTTTTTCAAATAAAAATAGAGGTAAAATTTTGAAGTTTATATAAAATTTGTATTTAACAAATAATATTTGATTGTATTTTAGATATTATTTTCTAAATCCCTCTTCAAATTTTTTCTTTATATCAATATTTAAGAATTATCTTTCATTAATTATATTTTTAACTTGACACCACAGTTACTCCCCATATCTTGAGTTAACTTACCCTATGAGAAAAAAAAGCTATCCACTTAAAATAATAAAATGCTTTCAGTAACATATAAAACGTTGAAGGTGAAGGATGTGCTTGTTGTTTTTCCGCTTTTTTTTAAATTTTAAAATAATTATCAATGAAAATATTAATATATTTTTTTGATTTTTCAAATATAGTTTCTAAATTTTACCTGCTTTATAATAAGTGTGAATTTATTTTAATATTTCTTCTCAAAAAATAGCCACTTCGATTTAAAAAAAACCCATATCAAATAAGGTCGGGCTTTCAAGTTTCTCTCTGAGCATTGGGACTTGTTAGATATAAAGACATTAATTAGGAATTTATTTTTCAGTTACTCTCTGAGCATGATGGTCTGGTAATAGCATTGTCCATAAACTTTAAACAACATATTTATTCCCAATGACGTCATGATAAATATGGCAAATGACATCGACTTTCCAGAATCTTTTGTAAATTATTAGATTATAAAACGGAAAAATTAAAACCCTTTTTTGTCCATCACATTTTATTTTAGTTTGTTTAAATTGTGTTTGTGTCATATAAAGAAAAAAACATAATGCTAAGATCAAAAACATGTACTTTTTATTTTAAGTACTTTGTTTTCGTTAGCACATTTCAATTTATTTACTGTAATTTTTGTATAATGCGGGGCAGTTGTAAATGCCAAATCAAAAATCTAACTAAATCTACATTGACTTTTCCTGAAAATGGTTTGCCATTTCAATATGATTCGAACATAATAAACATTTGTGAGACCAGTAAAAGCATTACTACAAATTCAGTGGCTTCCTCAAATTTAAAATACGAAGTGACGTGCGATTCTCTTGTTAAAGAGAACAGATCGAATTCTGAAATACATAAGCCATTGCATTTTATTTTGCAGAAGGATACAAATGTAGTTTTCAAATAGTTAATTTTAGGTTCAATGTTAAAATTAAAAATTTTAGCTTTTTACTTTGGTGTTACAATATCCTTGTGATGCACCACCGAATGAAATCAAGGGCTATTCAACAGGATCAGTACTAGTTATAATATTTTTTACTCTATGTTTTGTTTATTTAGGTATGCGCTAAAATTTTCAGTTTAATTAGGAAATAACTGATTATAATTTTAGGTCTTGGCGTTTCAGTAAATTTTTGTTTGGTGGGAGCCCGTGGTATTGAAATGATGCCTAACTTAGATTTTTGGAAAGACTTTCCAGCATTAGTTTTGGTAAAAAAATTATTTTTAAAGTTCTATATGTTTACAAATCAATATATACATACATATGAGTTATATACCTAAGTATAAAGAATGCGATTAATTACATCAAAAATCTAATTATCAATTTTAAATTTTAAAATAAATTAACGTTGGAGAAAAGTTAACTTTGGTACAAAAACAAGCATTTTGGTAAAAAAAAATGTTCGCGTTTTTTTAGCAAGGGCTAACGGGGGCTATTCTGCGATCGTAAAAGTGTTAATTTTCATTATTTTATAAAAATAAAATAATGAAAATTAAAACTTTTTACATTTTTTTTCACTAGGTTGTAAAAATGCTAATTTTTTGAATAAATGTTCTTGCAGTTACATACATACCTACATATATATCTAAAACATTTTAGATGTATCGCATGTAAGCTCTATTTTAGTAGACGTAGATGGTAGTACCAGCTTTGACGTGATATTAAATGTTGAAATCATCATGCGCGCTATTTTTGCAAAACTTCATAAAGACCTGAAAGATTTTTTATACTCCCGAATATTCGATATGCTATCAAATAAACTTTTTAAGCCCATCAGTGGCGCAACTAATGGATTATGTTTGAATATTGTACAAATTTTAAGATATCTTTATTTGTTTCATACATATCTTATCATAGATATCTTTCATTAGAAAAAGGGAACAGAATGAAAATTAAATGATTTTCAGATTAATGCCGGAAATTAGGTAGTTACGTATATTATATATATATAGTATACATATATAGTTATTTACCTTTTTACTTTCTTTTTGACATACATATGTATGTATGTATGTACCTAGGGTACCGCCAATATTTTTATTTTTGCGATGTTTTGTGAGAATAAAAATGAACATAAGAAAAAATTCATCACTAAAATCAACAAACTTAAGAATTTTAAATTTATATAAAAATTAAATATTTAAAAAGTAAAATTTTTAAAATATTAAAATAAAATGACGATGTAATTGATTCACAATTAAATTAAAAGCACAACGGACGCAAATTGTGAAGAACTGAAGGTTCTTGAAAACAAGCTTTAATTTTTAAGTTAATTATGCAAGTCTACTTTCATTTAACCTAGAAGATGCAGACAGTGAATGCACTTTGTCTACTTACATATCTATTGATAAAGTGAATTTATTGGATAATTGTAAACTTAGTAGACTATTAGTAGACTTATGTCTGCTAAACTTTAAGTGTCAGAACATTAATAAATTAGAAATTACCTACTATATTTAGTTAATAATACAAATACTTTTTAGTATTATTTTGCATTCTACACTTTTATTTAAAATCCACTTTTTCACTAAAGGGGAAAAATTCGCGCCTCCAGGAAAAATTTAAATAAACTTAAAATATTTAATTTGAAAATGTTTGATTTTATTTCAACTTCTTTAACCCAGCATTTATACGTACAAGTTACTTGCAAGAAAGTTGCAATACATACAAAAATTTTACTAACACATTGAAATATTTCTACTTGCTTGTTTACTTGCAGTTCAACTTGCAAGAAAATTTTGCTGCCAGTAATATGAGCAAGTAATTTGACATATTGAGAAATTCACAAAAAAAAATTTGTTGTTTTGATTTTTTTTTTTTTTAATTTAAAATTTTTGAATTTTGTTTTGAAAAAATTAAACTTAGCAAACTTATGGTTTCTAAAATTTATAAACAATTACATATATATATATTGCTAGTTGTTTTCTTCTCAAAGACATTTTCAAAAATTAACTTGCTAAACGCCTACGTAATGTCTTTATATCTAACAAGTCCCAATCAGTGTTCCCACTCGGTAAAAACAAAATGTATCCAATTTCGAGAAAAAAGTGTATCCAAAATGTATCCAACCTCTTAAAATAGCATTATTATAATAAGCCGTCGTATTTTGTACAAATTAACCCATAATTAATAATTTGCTTTATTCCACAATATGAGTTTTGTTACTTATAGTAAATTCTTTAAGAAATCACATGCAAGTTCCATTACATTTTAAATAAAGTCAGAAAATACATATGTATAAGTTCTGTAGTTGTTAAACTATGCGGTAAAGATGATTCACCATGAAAACGGACAAATTTTAAAAAACATGTACATCCAATACATTTTCTATTACACCTAGCTTACACTAAAATATTTCTTGTACGTTCTGTAAAAGCCAGCAAATAACATTTATGGAAGATAAAGCAACTTCGCGATTTAATATTAGCACCATTTTAACTGTTTTGTATATCACTAACCACTATATTTAGTGGTTGAAAAAAAATGTATCCATATTTCAGTAAAATCTAAGCTCAAATTTAAAGCAAAAATGTATCCAAATGGATACAATTGTATCCAAGTGGGAACGCTGGTCAAAATACTCAATTTTTTTTACGAAATGTTACGAATTTTTGAATTTTAAATGCCACTGATCGTGTCATATTTTTTATTATTTTTTTCTTTTTTACGTAAAAAAGAGATTAATATTTTAAAAAATCTCAGGATATTATACACATTTTTTAAAAAGCTTCCCATTTAAATTCTATTGCACGAAAAAGAAAGAAAGGTAGGAGGAAAGAAAAAATGAAAAAAAATTTCAAATTCATATTTCAGTATGGTTTCAAATGTTAATGAGGAAGGATGTATGATTTTTTATGCACATTTTGTATTTCCCAATAAGGTAAGTTGAGTAGTGTCGGCTAACAAAAATGTTAGTAAAAGTAATATAGGTTGGCATATTTATATGTTACTTATCAAATTGTTTCAATTAATTTTAGTTAGTTCTTAAGTTATTAAAAATAAATATGTATGTATCTACTTCCAATAAATTTTTTTTTAAATAATTATTTTAAAACTATTTCAAACATGTTATATTGAGTGCTTCAAAAATTTTGCTGTGCTCTTTTTTCATATTTTATTAGCAGGTAAACAAGAGCAATCTATTTATAAAATGTCCCTGTATGTGTATGTATGACCTATCTTAATTCTAAACGGAAAGAATTTTAAAATACCTGAACAAAAATTTTAAAATACCTGTTATTTTACAGTCGGAATTTTCGAGTCATTTGGTAAAATACCATTTATTTCAAAAATAGAAAAATATTCAAATCCGGTCATAAAAATATATGATTGTTTTTTCCAAACATTTTAAATATTTTTTTTTTCTTAGGTAATTGATATAAATGATAGTAAGTTTTTAATATTTTTTCAAATAAAAATAGAGGTAAAATTTTGAAGTTTATATAAAATTTGTATTTAACAAATAATATTTGATTGTATTTTAGATATTATTTTCTAATTCACTCTTCAAATTTTTTCTTTACTATGTATTTATATCAATATTTAAGAATTATCTTTCATTAATTATATTTTCAACTTGACACCACAGGTACTTCCCATATCTTGCGTTAACTTACCCTATGAGAAAAAAAAGCTGTTCACTTAAAAATAATGAAATGCTTTCAGTAACAAATAAAACGTTGAAGGCGAAGGTTGTGTTTGTTGTTTTTCCGCTTTTTTTTAAATTTTAAAATAATTATCAATGAAAATATTAATATATTTTTTTGATTTTTCAAATATATGTTCTAAATTTTACCTGCTTTATAATAAGTGTGAATTTATTTTAATATTTCTTCTCAAAAAATAGCCACTTCGATTTAAAAAAGGCCATATAAAATAATGTTTCTTTCAAGTTTCTCTCTGAGCATTGGGACTTGTTAGATATAAAGACATTAGCCTACGTCATAATAGCAAGTAATTTGACATTTCGAAAAACTAATTGACAATTAATATTATACAAACTTGCTTGCAAGTAACTTGTATGTGTAAATGCTGGGTAAGAAACAATAGTTTTATTTTAGTTTTATTAGCATTTTCAAATGTCATTCCTATAGATATTCTTTTAAATAATGTTCTTTCAAATTATCTATTCTAGTATCCTCGTTTTCAATTTAGAGTTATTTTTTTAAAACCATGAATTGTCAAAAACATCTAAATTTCCAAATTATAAAAATTTTTTTACGGAAAGTGGAAGTTATTTTTATGATCATGTTCATTAATGTTTTTATTTTGGTGTGAAACATTGCAGACGCAATCTAGAAATATTGTATGATCATAAAAATTAAGAAAGTTTAAATAATTTTAAATTTTGTACCGGCCAGTTATAGTAATACTGATAATAGTGATAATAGAATTTAAAACTTTGTTTATTTACCACCATTAATGTTAAGTAGAGTAGAGTTAAGAGATGACCTATATTGTAGGCCATCTCTCAACTCTACTTTACAGAAGGAAGAACTGAAGACCCACCTACTCGGGTCATACCCTGGGTTGGTGAACTCTAAACGGAGTTTTCGTCCTCAACTTGTTTCAGTGGGCTATGGACTTACCGAATGTAAATGCTAGTTGCTTTGGCTGGTACACTTCTAAGGAACTCTGGCTGCTTCTAATGGAGTGGAAGTAAGATCTGTCGAAGCCACAGTGGGTATGAATGGCTTAAGTGTACTGCTTAGGAGCCTCGTGCTATTGAGATTGAAAATAATACTGAGAAGACAGAAACTTAATTCAAAGCAACAAAAATTTCGATTATTGGAAAAACAAATCGATTTGTAAGAAAAATATTGTAAGGTTATGAAAAAAAGAAATAATTATCTTAAAGATGGAGTTTGAGAAATACGACAACTAAGAAAATTGAAAGAATAAAAATTGAAATTTTAAGATTCATATAAGGAAAAATACAAAATATTGTTGGAAATGGGATTGCTGGAAATTAAGAAAAAGAAAATGGAAATCGAGTAGAAGAAAGATCGCAAAAACACAATTGCTGGAAATTAAGAAAAGATAATAGAACAAAGATCGCAAAAACAAAGGTTGTTTTTGAAAATGCAGTTCTTGAGCTTAGAATATGTAGATCTCATTTTGCTCTATAGAGTTCTAAGCTATATTATTCCAACACAAAATTTTCATATTTTGTCAACACATACAATACATATTTAAATATAAATAAAGA